TGTCCTCATATTTGCATATATGCCCATGCTTCTCAAGCCTGCAGACACCTCAGGATCATTGCAACATGCTCAAATTCACTCTCACAGATTCACCGTGATGGGACCTGACATTTGTAATTTTAAAAGCTACCCTGATATTTCTGATATGAAACTCACATTGGGAACCACTGTCTAGTACTAAGACTGTTCAGTCTAAAAACTATGATGAAGGATGAGAGCAGAATAAGATATGGAAAAAGTAACATCACACTGACTTATTGGAGTATCAGAAAAATATAGTCATCCCTCCATGTTCAAGCAAGAGCTGCTCCAGGACTCCTGCAACCAAAAGATGGGGATACTCAGACCCGTATGCATGATAATGCAGTGCTTGCATATAACCTGTGCATATGCATCCTTGTGTATACTTTAAGCTACGTCTAGATTATTTGCATAATACAATGTAAATGCCACATAAATATTTATCATATGATATAATGTAAAGAATGCTGACAAAAATGTCTGCACAGGTACAATACTAGCATAATTTTTTTAAAGTATTTTGTATCTGCCATTGGTTTAATCCATGGATGCAGAAATCAGAGACACAGAAAACCAACTACAACAATTATTTTATCTTTTTTATCTAATATTATATGCAATATAATAATAAGTATGAGAAGCTGCTGTCTAATTCACTTTTCTTATATTTTTCTACAAAGAACTATGTCTCCTTCTTTAAGTCTTAACACTGATGCTTTTACATCTCACTGCAAGACTGGGGAAAATCAATAATCCATTAGCTCTGTTTAAAGAGTGAGAGTTCTGTGTGGGCCAGATTTGACCATCATGAATATTAAGTTTCAGTGCCCTAAGGGGCCACAGAAGAAAGGCCATGGGCTGCTGCTTTGCTGAGGTTCCTGTTACACAGGGCTGAGAAGCAATTTCAGGCTGCTTTTAACCAGGTCCTATGTGAAGAAGACACCTGGTTGGTGTCATTGGTAAGATAGATCACCATCACATGACGTAGCACGAATCCTAATTGATCTTAAAAATAAAAGCCCAGAGTCAGATATCAGGGTGAAAGATGAAAGATCAGAAAAGCAGAGCAGCCAGCCACTAGTTCTTACATATACAAATACTCAGCCTGAAAGGAAGCTGAGCTCCTGTCTCCTCCTGCCTTCTATTCCTCTCTCTGCCCAGCCATATCACTTCCTGTCTCCACCTCCTAGTGCTGGGATTAAAGGTGTGAGATCCCAAGGGCTTGGATCAAAGGTGTGTGCCACCACTGCCTGGTTCTGTTTCTCTTTTAAACTAGATCGATCTTGTGTAACCCAAGGTGGCCTTGAAGTCATAGAGATCTGTCTGCCTCTGCCTCCCGAGTTCTAGGATTAAAGATGCGTGCCACCACTGCCTGGCCTCTATGGCTAACTAGTGGTTTAGCTCTGCACTCTGATCTTCAGGCAAGCTTTGCTAGATCACAAACAAATTATCATCACAACATGGCTATATTCTAACTGGAGAATATGGATCTTACCACACATCCATCTCTGATATGTGGTACTGATGGAATGTGTGATACTCTGATAGAAGTACTAATGAAATACGCCAAACCTTGATCCCTCACTTACACTTTCTATCATTTCATATATTAGCAGTAGATTATATTCTGAAAACATTAAATATAAAAAATTCCTGAAATAAATAATCCACAAATTTAAATTGTGTGTGTACAGTGTTCTGATTAGCATTATCTAATGCTACTGCTCCATTCTTTTACCCAGAAGGTGAATCATCCTTGTGTCCACTGTATCTACACTATACATGCTACCTGTCTGTGAGTCACTTCGCAACCTTCCCAGTTGTCAGACCTATCATCATCATCATATCATAGTGCTGGTTTCTCTTGTAACCCTTGTTTTACTTAAAAACATCCCCCCAACATAGGAGCACTGATGCTGGCAATTTGCATACACCCAAGAGAAGCTGAAAACACTGCCTTCGGATGAAAGAGCGAAAGTGTCGTATTACTAAGAAAGGGGAAAGAGTGTATGTGGGCGTTTTGAAGATCTGTGGTAAGAATGTATCAATACAAGCATAGCGAAGAAAAGGAGTCATGCCCATTTCTTTGTCAGACCTTAAATTACAAAAGCTATGACCATGGTGCATAACAAGTATTTGGTTAGGGCATAAGTTACTAAGTGTATGTGTAGTTGTTTTTTGTTTGTTTGTTTGGTTGGTTGGTTGGTTTTGTTTGTTTGTTTGTTTGTTTGTTTTTTTCGTTGGGGGCCCACCATCCAGCTCTCAAATAAATACACAGAGACTTATTCTTATTTATGAAAGCCCAACCTTAGCTTGGCTTGTTTCTAGCCAGCTTTTCTAATTTAAATTATACCATCTATTTTTTGCCTCTCAGATTTTACCTTCTCTATTCTATATATGTCTCTTTTTTACTTTTTACTCCGTGGCTGGAAGTGTGGCTGGTGGCTGGCCCCTGGTGTCCTCCTCTCCTTCTCCTTTTCTCACTCCTCCCTCTTTTTCCTCCTACTTAGCCTCTCTGCCTGCCAGCCCTGCCTATCCCTCTCCTGCCTCTTGGCCGTTAAGCTCTTTATTAGACCAATCAGGTGTTTTAGGCAGGCAAAGTAACACAGCTTCACAAAATTAAACAAATCCAGCATAAAAGAATGCAACACATCATTGCATCATTAAACAAAATATTCCACAGTATAAACAAATGTAACACATCTTAAAGTAATATTCCACAGTATGTATGTGTATATGGTATAAAAATATAGCATTTAAAAAAAAACAACACTTTTAGAGTCAGTATTGTCTGTAGCTTCAGGAATTCACTGGGCTTCTTGACCCTCAGAGAAAGGAAGACTTGTTATGCTGGTTCATTTTTTAATGGCTACAAGAATCTTGGGATTAAAAAATTGAATTATTTGGGGCTTGGGAGATGGCTCAGCAAGTAAAGACACAAGCATTACAACCTGGTGATCTGAGTTCATTCTTCCAAATTCAAGTAAAAAGCCAGCAAGGGCTGAGCTTCTGTGGTCCCAGCACTTCTATGACAAGATGGGAAGCAGATAGAAGAATTGCCCAGAGATTCCCAAGCCAGCTAACCTGGTTATACAACACAGCAGCACCAGCAAGAGAGAGACAGGCCTCAGCAAGGTAAAAGAAGAAAATCAATTCCCAAAAGTTGTTATCTGGCCCCCACGCACATGCCATGGCATGATTGCACCCACATTCACACACACATGCATGTGCATGCATGTACATACACAAACACACACACATACAAAAAAATCAGTGTTTCTTAAAACACATTAGCTAAGACATGTAACCTATTTATCTAGGTGTTCATCAGTGGATGCACAAAGAAAATGTGGTACTGGGCTGAGGATGCACTTAAGTGATAGAGTGGGAGTATACATGAGACATTCTGTCCAATCTCAAGTATGGGAGAGGGAGATGGGGGAAACAGAGAAGAGAGAGATAGAGACAGAGACAGAGAGACAGACTGACAATTTCAGTCAGTCATTACACAAGAGTGAAATTATGACATTTGCAGGAAAATGGATGGAACTCACTATACTAAACAAAATAAGCCAGACACAGAAAAACAAATACCACATTTTTTCTCTTGTGTGGCATCTAGATTTAAATTTTACATACATACATAAGACATGAATGTAGACAGGGGACTATTGAGAGAAGAGAAAATGGAAATGCAGAGGAGGAAATAAGAGAGGGTAATGGATTTCATGACATGAAAACAGAGTGTGACTCTCTGGGGGAAAGGAAACCACCAAGAGAAGGAAATGGGGTTGGGGTATGGGGAGCAGAAGAAGCCCTGGGTGAGTGAAGTTCTGTGAAGATTAATTGTTGACATGAGCACAGCCATGTCAAGGACTCCAAAGCCTAGGATCCATGGGAAAATGGCAGTTTCCCCCATCCATCTCCTCTAGTCCTTGTGCATATGCTGATTGTGTGTGTGTGTGTGGAGGGGTGTAAAAATGTCCATCGTAGCTATCTGCTTCTCCCCCAAATATTTATGGCCTAAAGACTGGTACCTTACAGACCTGCTCCTACCTGGGTTAGCTAAACCTGTCTCTTTAATCCACCAATACACCATAAATTCTGCTTCTCTGCATATCTGTGTGTAATAATACCATCTCCTTGTTCAGCTATGTGTAATAACCCCACCCCCCTGTTCAATTGTATATAATAAAGATCCTGAGCTTCCAGAATACTACGGCTGCTCCATCATCAGAGAGCCCAGTCCACTTAATCCCAGTTTTTCTGTATTTCTATACATCTGTCTGTCTGTCTGTCTGTCTGTCTGTCTCTCTCTCTCTTTCTTCTTCTTCTTCTTCTTCTTCTTCTTCTTCTTCTTCTTCTTCTTCTTCTTCTTCTTCTTCTTCTTCTTCTTCTTTATTCCCTCACTGCCCAAGTCAGGTAAAGTCCCTGGGGCCATGCAAGGATCCAGCAATGGGAAATGGGTACAAATTAGAACAAAGTATGGTGGAGTATATATATGAACTTGTCATTATAAAACCCATTGCTTTATTTGTAAACTAGAAGAATTCGTTTTTAAATGACACACTCAGATAATTTGTTTAAGTGTCAAGAAGAAAGCAGTAGCCTATAAATAGTGACCAATATGGGAATTCTTACAATCACTGATGAAAAACCTGTCCCATGTCCCCTTGTCCCCAAGGCATTCTGCAACCGTTGCTTCCTTAGATTTTAGCATAGTACAACCCAACATACTCTTATGCTCAAAAGAGAACCTTTGCCCACTTTTATATTGATGTTACATTCCTATTCTCTGCTGATTATTCTGATCTGAGCATTGAGGAGTCTCCGATTTACCTCCTTTCGGTGGCACTTGATGGCTATGGCAGTTAATCTTGACCGTCAACTTGACAAGACCTGGTGTTGTACAGAAGACCTCTGGGCGTGTCTGTAAGGGCAATGCCAGCAAGATTTAACAGAAGATAAAAGACGTGCTCTGAAAGTCAGCAGCAGCATCCTCTGAACTGTGGTCCTAGAATGGAGAAAGGGGACAAAGTGAACTGAGCCAAACTATTCATCTCTCTCCCCTCCCTGACCACGGATTCAATGTGACCAGCTGCTACAAAGTGGCCGACCAGTTGTTTCCTGTTCCCATCACCATTCTTTCCTGGCTATGAAGGACTGTGCCCTCAAACTTGTCTCCCCTAAGTTTCTCTTGCTAGGCATTTTGCCACCCCAACAGGAAAAGTAACTGATACAATGACGAACCTCTAGCTAAAAGCAGAAGCAGCAGCTAGAAAGTCAGACCCCAGCAACACTCTCTGTAGTCTCTGCACCTAAAATTCTAACGAAGTTTCCCACTTCTGTTACCAAGACCTGCTTTCTCCAGTTTTCCTTTAACATGACTGTGTGTGTCATCACTGTGAGCTAAATGCTACACTGAGCTTCCGTTCCACTCTTGTTCTAACTAGAGGAATTAGAAAGCTAAAACTACATGTCTGCCTCAGGGTCCCTTGCAAGTTAAAGCGCTATATACAAATTAGTCCCACCCATTCCATGCGTTATGGTGAGGTCGGGGAAGCAAATCACCCGACCTCCCTTGGCTGTTGGTTCTGCCAAGCAAGAGCACGGAGAAGTGAAGTCTGCCTGGAGCACCAATAACTGTTCCTTCTCCAGCTTTCTGCAGGTTCAGCGCTGGTGACAGCAAGAAGCAGCAAGTTCTTGGTTTCAACTTAGCTCTGACATGACCTCAAAAGGAAGAGCTTCTCGGTTGTAGCGTGTGTTTTACCGCACTCATGGGGGGAGGGGCAGGACAGACACAGGGACTCACATTTGTAACCCAGCACCGGGAGGGAGAGATAGGCAAATCCTATACACCTCCTGGCCAGCCAACCTAGCCAAAATGGCAAGCCCCAGGGCTCAGTGCAAGACTTTGTCTCAGAAAATAAGGCGGAGAGCAATTGAGGAAGCCACTCCATGTCAACCTGGGCTTCCACCTACATGTGCAGGCCCGTGTGCAAACACACATGCACACACACACGCGCACACACACGGTGGGGGTGGCATACAAAGACACAGCATACACAAAGAAATCATTTTTTAAAGGGGCCTTAGAAGCTGGATGAAATAGCTCAACAATGAAAGGCACTTATTGCACAAACTTGGTGGCTGAGCTCAACCCCTAGAGCCCACAGGAAGTGGGAAGGAGAGAACTGACTCCATATAGTTTTTCTCTGACCACCACACACATGTCATGTCATGTGTGCCCACACAGACACATCCTGCACATACATACACAGTACTGATGATAAAATAACAATAATTTAAAGAATTTAAAAAAGCGTCTTGTCACTATTGTGCCTGCTGCTGGCTTCACTAGCAATCATGTAGGAACTTTCATAACCACCAACCCCCTTTTCTTTTCAAACAGTGTTTTGGTGGGTGGCCTAGGCTGGTCTTGAACACATGAGTGTGACTGTGGTCGCTAACATTATGTTGATGGCTAACTTTATGCTTGAAAGTTTAAAATTACTGTGCTTAAGCAAAACTATAAAGCAAAGAAAGAAAGAGAGAGAGA